CTAGTAACTAGGAGGTGTTAAAAAATAAAATTCTTTGTTTGGGCTTTTGTCTTGATTAACAAGGCAAAACTCAGGAAAGAAAATTAAAAGGAGCTTATTAATATGTTTTATTAAAATACATTTCCTTCTGTAAGTTTTTGAATCTCTTTTCAATTGGTTGACTTTTCTTTTCATAAATTTCTTGATTTTCTTGCATTACTTTTATTTTTTTCCCTAATTTTTCCTCAACCTCTCTTCCTTGATTTTTAAAGTCCTTTTTAAGCTTTTTCAAGAACTCTTTTTGGCCTTGTGACCATTTGATATTTTTTCTTGAAGTAGAAGTAGCTGTTTTGACGTCACTGTCTTCTTCTGAGTTTGAACCCAAATCTTCTCCATCACCATAGTAGCTATCTATGATCAGGTTCTTTCTCTTTTGCTCACACTTTTTTAAAGCATCTTATTTCTCAGCTGTTAACTTTGTGTTAGACTTGAGCTGTAGCCCTCAGGTGTGAGGAATAATGTCTCAGGCTTCAGGTTTTTTGTGCTGTTGTTTTCTGAGCTCTATCCAGGTCTGGGGCCCTGACCTCAAGTGCTCCTCTCTGCCCCCAGGCCATGACCAGGGCCCCCACTGTCACTGCAAACACTCTTACTCCCTGTGGTTTCTCCTGCAGCTGAAAGCTTCAGTTCACCCCCCTGCCCTGGAACCAAAACTAAGGACTCCACTCTCCTGAGACTGACCACAGCCAGCAGGGCCCTCACCCCTTTGCAACCTCACTTACACTCACTCCTCCTCCCCCAGTCACAGCCTGGGACCATGTCTGGTCAGAGCATCGGAGACCTATGTCTCACATCAGCCAGCAGAGGGCCATGCAATCTTCCCTTGATCAACTGCCAGATCCCTACATGGGCAAAATTTCCTGATTCTAAGGCTGCCACCTACACAGCTGCCCCCAGAGCTTGTCGCTTGTTGATTCAGCGGTATCTGCCTGGGGGGTATCTTCACTTCAATCAGGTCAGACCACCACCCTGGGAGGTCAGGTCTTTTCCAATGTCCAAAGTTGTCTTAGGCTGGACAACTGCTTTACCTGACAATTTTTTTTTGCCACTTTAAAATTTACTTTGAGGCATTATTTTAAATTATTTGTGGGGGAATTTGGGAAAGCGTATTTCCTGCTTTATTCAGCCATCTTCCCAGAATCTTCTTTTTACTTTCAATAGAGACAATATTTGAACTCAGATCCTTTGACTCCAAATACAACACTGCTTTATTCAAGTTTCTAACAATAACTATATATTTTTACATGCTATTTTTAGAATTTTTATTTCAGAGTCTTGGACAAAGACAGCTGCTACAGATAAGGGAGGAAACTGTCCCAGGACCAAATAGCTAAAGGCCCCCTCAGCTGGGGAGAAAATTTAATTGGTTTGTAAATACAGATCACTTCTATCACACATATAACTCCAGTAGTTAATGATAAAAAACTTAAGAAGTGTCCATGATCTTTGTCTACTTGCTCAAGGGTACTCAGACCAATATACTATTTGTAAACTGACATTAACAATAAAGATTTTTCTTTTTAAATAATTTAACATTATGATCTACTGTCTTTCTAAGGCATGTATGTGCAAGAGAACTTGCCAAGACTTGTATCTGATGGCTGCTACCTACTTCTGAGTCATATGGACATAAACGATCCTTCTGGAAAGCTTGGGTTTGAGTCTTACCTCTTCTACCTTACAACCTATGTGACCTTGGGCAAGTCACTTAAGTCTTTGCTAGTAAAAGAAATGCTAGCTATAGCAATAAGAGAAGAAAAAGAAATTGAAGCAATTAGAATAGGCAATAAGGACACAAAACTACCATTCTTTGCAGATGATATGATAGTATGCTTAGAGAACTCTAGAGAATCAACTAAAAAACTAGTTGAAACAATTAACAACTTCACAGGATACAAAATTAATCCACATAAATTTTTAGCTTTTCTATATATTAGCAACAAAACCAAGCAGGAAGAGATAGAAAGAGAAATGCCCTTTAAAATAACTGCAGACAATATAAAATACTAAGGAATCTACCTGCTAAGACAAACCAAGGAACTATATGAACACAATTACAAAACACTTTTCATATAAATAAAATCAGATCTAAACAATTGGAGAAATATTAGTTGCTCGTGGGTAGCCTAGCCAATACAATAAAAATGACAATTCTACCTAAGTTAATTTACGTATTCAATGCCATACCAATCAAACTACCAAATAATTACTTTATAGAGGTAGATAAAAATAGTAATAAAATTCATCTGGAAGAATAAAAGGTCAAGAATATCAAGGGAATCAGTGAAAAAAAGCGAAGGAAGGCAGCCTTGCAGTTCCAGATTTCAAACTATATTACAAAGCAGTAATCATCAAAACAACTTGGTACTGGATAAGAAATAGAGTGGCAGATCAGTGGAATAGATTAGGTACACAATATACGGTAGTGAATGACTACAGTAATCTGGTAATCTAGTGCTTAATAAATGCAAAGACTCAACCTTTTGGGACAAGAACTCATCATTTAACAAAAATTCCTGGGAAAACTGGAAAGCAGTTTGACAGAAACTAGGTATAAACCAGCATCTCATACCACATAACAACATAAGATCAAAACAAATAAGTGAATGAGACACAAATTAGGGTAATAGAACAAGTAAATTAGGGGAGCATGGAAAAATTTACCTGTCAGATCTATGGATAAGGGAAGAGTTTTATGACCAAACAAGAGATAGAGGGGATTATGAGAAGTAAAATGGATAAGTTTGTTTACATGAAGCTAAAAAAGCTTTCGCACAAGCAAAATTAATGCAGCCAAAATTAGAAGGAAAACAAGAAACTGGGGGAAAATTTTTTGCAGCAAGTTTCTCTGATAAAGGCCTCATTTCTCAAATACAAAGAGAACTGAGTTGTTCCCCAATTGATAAATGGCCAAAGGATATGAATAGGCAGTTTTCAGAAGAAGAAATCAAAGCTATCAACAGTCACATAAAAATGTTATAAATCACTATTGATTAAAGACATGAAAATTAAAACAACTTTGAGGTACCATCCCATACCTATCAGATTGGCTAATATGACAGAAAAGAAAAATGACAAATTCGGGAGGAGATGTGGAAAAATTGGGACACTAATGTACTGCTGGTGGAGTTGTGAGCTGATCCACCCATTTTGGAGAGCAATTTGGAGCCATGCCCAAAAGGCAATAAAACTGTGCATACCCTTTGATGCACCAATACCACTTTGAGGTCTGTATCCCAAAGAGACCAAAGATAAGGGAAATGAACCAATTTGTGCAAAAATGTTTACAGCAGCTCTTTTTGAAGTGGCAAAGAAGTTGAAATTCAGGAGATACTCATTAATTGGAGAACGGCTGAACAAGTTGTAGTATGATTGTGATGGAATACTATTGTGCTCTAAGAAATGATGAGCAGGATGGTTTCAGAAAAACCTGAGGAGACTTACATGAACTCATGCAAAGTGAAATGAGTAGAACCAAGGGAACATTGTACATAGTAACAGCAATATTGTATTATGATCAACTAGGAAAGATTTAGCTATTCTGATCAAGACAATGACCCAAGACAATTCCAAAAGACCCACGATGGAAAATGTCATAAACCTTCAGAGAGAGAACTGAATGCATATCGAAGCATACTTTAAAAAAAAAACTTAATTTTTATTGTTTTATTTTGTTTGTATTTTCTTTTGCAACATGGCTAATACGGAAATATATTTTGCATGACTTCATGTGTATAATCGAAATTAAACTGCTTCCCTTCTCAAGGAGGGGGAAGGACAGAAGGGAGGCAGGACATGTGGAACTCAAAATTTTAAAATGACTGAAAAATTTTTTCTGAGTGTAATTGGGAAATGTTTAATGAAATACAGAAAAATAAATTAAGAAAAAAAAGAAAAAATCTTAATTGGTTGGTGACATCAGTCTCTTTAGAGAGCTTCCTTTTTTACTCCTCAAAAGTACTTCATAGTACTACTCAAAAGACACTTTGTGTCTTCAGAATTTCATTCCTGAAAGTTTTTCCACCTATGCTGACTTCCTACAATTTAGTCCATGGGATCCTAATTCCTTTGAACCCTTTAAATATACTTTTTCCAGATCTATGATGAATGTTAGACTATGCCTAGGCTTTGCCTTGGGAACCAGCATTTGGGCTTATGTCAGTGATGACTACGATGACTTTTAAAGTTTAGATTTCACAACTAGGCACAAAGGATACATTTAAAAATACAGTTGATAGCAGTTTAAGCTTCTGCTTACAAAAACTGTACAGTTCACAGATTAAAGATTATATATTCATACAGTCAGTCACACAAAACTCAGTTAAAGAAAAGGCTAAAACAATATTTGGGAAGTTAAAGCAATGACAAAATAACTGAGATTTATGCAGTGCTTCTTCAAAGTTTACAAAGCAGAGCGCTTTGCACATTTAATTTAAGTTCGTGGAAAGAATGAATGAATACAAAGTACTTTTTGTTCATGCTCACATAAGAACACAATTTGCCCCATGAAGCAAATAGGACAAGGATTATTATCCCTATTTTACAAATGAGCTAAGAGAGGTCATAGGATCATAGGATCATAGCTCTAGAGCTCAGACAGACCTTGGAGCTCATCCAGTACAATCACCTCATTTTACATATAAGGTACTTGTCCAAGGTCACACAGATATTAAGTGTACAGCTCCTGTTCAATATTCTTACTGCTGTTCTGCTTTGGTTAAGGAGTTATAGCAAAGATGCCTCAGGACCTTGTTTCTTTAACAGAAATAGCTAAATAGGGGCAGCAAGGTGGCACAGTGGATAGAGCACTGGCACTGGAGTCAGCAGGACTGGAGTTCAAATCCGGCCTCAGACACAGAATACTCACTAGATGTGTGACTCTGGGCAAGTCACTTAACCCCAACTGCCTCACCAAAAAGAAAAAAAAAGAAATAGCTAAATAAATGTTCGAGTCATTCACTAACCTGGCTGTCAGCTTTGGAGAAGTGGCTATTGAAGCAAATATCTTGATCATGGCCATTTTGCAGAGGTCAGCAGCAGAACCTAAAAAAGGAAGAGCATCCTGTTTGGTTTGTTTGTTTTTTATCAGTGAGGGAAAGAAGTACACCTCCCTGACCATCAGTTTCTTCTAGCTCCTTCCTCACCCTCACCCTTATGGCTGAGTTCAACATGACTCCCAGACTAGTCCAGACCATTTATTCCTGGACCCTTGTAGTCTGCAGGTCTTTTCTTCCAGCTGAGACAGTGTTCTGTTAAGTCAGGGCACATTATCCACTCCCGTCTCCTAAGCATCTTTCCTAGACTATGAACATAGCTTTTGCACGTACCTTTCCTTAACAGATATTCAGAGACAATCTGCTTTGTGTTGCTTTCTGTACAATGCTGCAGGCCCATTTTTCTTAGTAATAGTTGTTTTAAGTTAGCTGAGAAGAGGATAGTGTCTCTTTTTCTCTCTTTCTTTATGAGAGTGGAAAGCCCTTATTATCTTGGGTGTCCTCTCTGGAAGGCCTTGCTGAAGCTTTTCTTGATACCTTAATTCTAGTGGGAAGTGCACACTGGCTGGTGTATGCTATCTTGGGCCAAAGGTCTACTGTTTACTGATGCGATGATGCTATTTTTATTTATATCATATATAGCGGGTTCTCTTCTCCCTTTTTTGGAGTGGTCTAAGTCACCAGTCCTGATGCTGATGTGGAAATCTGAACATGTGCAAGTATGTTCTGCCTGCTTCTGCTACTCATCATTGGTTTGAGTCTGTCCAAGTGGTTGCTCACCATAACTCTGTGGGAATACTATATTGCTGCCTCTCAGCTCTCTCGCTTTCTTTCTTGTTTCAAAGCCTGAACTATTCTAAGTTGCATGCAGGAGAGTTAGGTGGGGGAACAGTGCAAGCTTTACCCCACACCTCGCCCCACAGAGCCAGAAATCTAGGCAAGCCTGTACCTGTGGTGAGACTGCCTTTCTTTTTTTATGTTTTCTTTTCCAATGAAGTGACTAAGTAGCACCAAATCCAGATGACCTTGTGAATTTCAGAAGGTCACGAGGTCCTGGATAGCCAGTAAGGCAGCAGCTTCAGTGCCCCCAAAAGTGGCAAACTGATGTTACAGAAGCAGCAGGAATGGGCTAGTGCCAAAGGTATAGTAAACATCGAAGAATATGGGGTCACCAGAAAAGTTCATGGCCCACACCTGGATTTTGATAGGATGGTATAGTAGAGGTGAAACATGAAGTGGTTAGTTAACAGAACTGCCAAGTAATACTATGTCTTTTTTTTATTTAAATTTTTTTTATTTTTTCCATACGCTTTTGAGTTGAAAAGTTTTCTCCCTTTTCCTCCCCCCCACCCTCCCCAAGACGGCGCACAATCTGATATAGGCTTTACATTTACATACCCTTAAACATATTTTCACATTAGTGAAGCTGTAAGTAAAAATTAAAACCAATAGGAGGAGCCATCAGAAAGATGAAACAAAACTCAACAGAAGGTAAAAATAAGTGAGAGCGATTCGACTTCCATAGTTCTTTCTTTGAATGTGAACAGCATTATCCATCCCGAGGCCTCTGGAAGTGTCTTAGATACTTGTAATGCTGAGAAGGGTTCAGTTTAACATTCTTAGTCATTGCATAACATGGCTGTTATTGTGTACAAAGTCCTCTTGGTTCTACTCACTTCATTCAGCATCAGACCATATAAGTCTTCCCAGGTTTTTCTGAAGCCAGCCTGTTCATCATTTCTTACAGCACAATAGTATTCCACTACATTCATATACCACAACTTGCTCAGCCATTCCCCAATTGATGGGCATCCTCTCAATTTCCAATTCTTTGCCACCACAAAAAGAGCTGCTATGAATATTTTTGTACATGTGGGTCCTTTTCCCATTTTTGATCTCTTTGGGATATAGCCCTAGAAGTGCTATTGCTGGATCAAAGGGTATGCACATTTTTGTAGCCCTTTGGGCATAGTTCCAAATTGTTCTCCAAAATGGTTGGATCATTTCACAACTCCACCAACAATGTATTAGTGTTCCAATTTTCCCACATCTCTCCAACATTTATCATTTTCCTGTTTTGTCATGTTGGCCAATCTGATAGGTGTGATGTGGTACCTCAGAGTTGTTTTGATTTGCATTTCTCTAATCAATAACGATTTAGAGCATTTTTTCATATGACTATAGATGGCTTTAATTTCTTCATCTGAGAACTGTCTGTTCATATCCTTTGACCATTTATCAATTGGGGAATGGCTTGTGTTCTTATAAATTTGTCTTAATTCTCTATATATTTTAGAAATGAGGCCTTTATCAGAGAGACTGGTTGTAAAAATTCTTTCCCAATTTTCTACCTTCCTTCTAATCTTAGTTGCATTGGCTTTGTTTGTGCAAAAACTTTTCAATTTAATGTAATCAAAATTATCCATTTTGCTTTTCATAATGTTCTCTATCTCCTGTTTGGTCATGAATTCTTCTGTTCTCCATAGATCTGATAGGTAAACTATTCCTTGTTCTCCCAGTTTACTTATGGTATCAGCCTTTATATCTAAGTCATGAACCCATTTTGACTTTATTTTGGTATATGGTGTGAGATTTGGGTCTATGCCTAGTTTCTGCCATACTCTTTTCCAGTTTTCCCAGCAGTTTTTTTCAAAGAGTGGGTTCTTATCCCAGAAGCTGGGGTCTTTGGGTTTATCAAATAATAGATTACTATAGTCATTGACTACTGTGTCTTGCATATTTAACCTATTCCACTGATCCACCTCCCTATTTCTTAGCCAGTACCAAGCAGTTTTGATGATTGCTGCTTTATAATACAATTTAAGATCTGGAATTGCTAGGCCACCTTCCCCTGCATTTCTTTTCATTAGTTCCTTTGATATTCTGGACCTTTTGTTTTTCCAAATGAATCTTGTTATTATTTTTTCTAACTCTATAAAATAATTTTTTGGTAGTTTGATTGGTATGGCACTGAATAAGTAAATTAGCTTAGGTAGGATTGTCATTTTTATTATATTAGCTCGCCTACCCATGAGCAACTGATGTTTTTCCAATTATTTAGATCTGATTTTATTTGTGTGAAAAGTGTTTTGTAATTGTGTTCATAGAGTTCCTGGGTTTGTTTCAGGAGGTAGACTCCTAAATATTTTATAATGTCTACAGTAAGTTTAAATGGGATTTCTCTTTCTATCTCTTGCTGTTGGGCTTTGTTGGTAATATATAGAAATGCTGATGATTTATGTGGGTTTATTTTATAGCCTGCAACTTTGCTAAAGTTGTTTATTATTTCAAGTAGTTTTTTACTTGATTCTCTAGGATTCTCTAAGTATATCATCATGTCATCTGCAAAGAGTGATAGCTTTGTTTCTTCTTTGCCTATTCTAATGCCTTCAATTTCTTTTTCTTCTCTTATTGCTAAAGCTAAGGTTTCCAGTACAATATTGAATAACAGTGGTGATAATGGACATCCTTGTTTCACCCCCGATCTTATTGGAAATGCTTCTAGCCTGTCCCCATTACATATAATGCTTGCTGAAGGTTTTAGATAGATGCTATTTATTATTTTAAGGAAGACTCCATTTATACCTATGCTTTCTAGTGTTTTTAATAGGAATGGGTGTTGTATTTTATCAAAAGCTTTTTCTGCATCTATTGAGATGATCATGTGGTTTCTGTTGGTTTTGTTGATATGCTCAATGATGCTGATAGTTTTCCTAATATTGAACCAACCCTGCATTCCTGGTGTAAATCCTACCTGGTCATAGTGTATTACTCTTTTGATAAGTTGCTGCAATCTATCTTGCTAATATTTTGTTTAAAATTTTTGCATCTATATTCATTAGAGAAATTGGTCTATAATTTTCTTTCTCTATTTTGACTCTTCCTGGTTTAGGTATCAACACCATATTTGTATCATAAAAAGAATTTGGTAAGACTCCTTCTTCACCTATTTTCCCAAATAGTCTATATAGTATTGGAATTAATTGTTCTTTAAATGTTTGATAGAATTCGCATGTAAATCCATCTGGCCCTGGAGATTTTTTCCTAGGGAGTTCATCAATGGCTTGTTCAATTTCTTTTTCTGAGATGGGGTTATTTAAGTATTTTACTTCCTCTTCGGTTAATCTGGGCAATTTATATTTTTGTAAATATGTATCCATTTCACTAAGATTGTCAAATTTGTTGGCATATAGTTGGGCAAAATAATTCCTAATTATTGTTTTAATTTCCTCTTCCTTGGTGGTAGCTTCGCCCTTTTCATTCTTGATACTAGTAATTTGGTTTTCTTCTTTCTTTTTTTTAATTAAATTAACCAAAGGCTTATCTATTTTATTGGTTTTTTCATAAAACCAGCTCTTAGTTTTATTTATTAGTTCAATAGTTTTCTTAATTTCAATTTTATTAATTTTTCCTTTAGTTTTCAATATTTCTAATTTGGTGTTTAGTTGAGGATTTTTAATTTGTTCTTTTTCTAGTTTTTTTAGTTGTATGCCCAATTCATTAATCTCCTCTTTTTCTATTTTATTTATGTAAGCATTTAGAGATATAAAACTTCCCCTAAGAACTGCTTTTGCTGCATCCCATAGGTTTTGGTATGTTGTCTCATTATTGTCATTCTCTTGAATGAAATTATTGATTGTTTCTATGATTTGTTGTTTGACCCAATCATTTTTTAGGATTAGATTATTTAGTTTCCAATTATTTTTTAGTCTATCTTTCCATGGCCCTTTATGACATATAATTTTTATTGCATCATGATCTGAAAAGGATGCATTTAATATTTCTGCCTTTCTGCTAATACTATGTCTTGATGAGCTTAGATTATAACTTGGCTATAAGATGAGTTTCTGACTCCTGTTTAAATTGTTCTACAATGGTATGATTCTCTTATGCTTATCATTGCTTTCTGTGGGGGAAAAAGACCAGTTTTGTACCTGATTCATATGATACCAACTGGGTGCCTCTTTTGCTGTCTCTTCCCTTTTGGGAAATCGTGGACTATAGCCCCAAACAGAATTGTCCCTGGAGTAGCTGTGGTAGTGGTGATAAGCAAATGAATGTGAGAACTGGGAACCTTATTAAGAAGTCAGGCAACTTCAGAGCAATGAACTCTGAGCAAACCTTGATGGCAGGTAAAAAACCTGGCAGACGTTGCCAGCCTGTGGCTTAAGCAAAGCTAAAGCTACTCTGTTTGACACAGACTAATACAATTAGGATTTAGAACTGGAAGACATCTTAAATTATAAGAGAGAAAACTTGGGCCCAGAGGAGTTAGGTGCTCACGGTCTAGTGCTTGGAGCCATCCTTGAAATACTGTGCTCATTCCACAATATCATATTTCTTCTTCTTCTTCTTCTTTTTTTTTTTTTAGGCAATTGGGGTTACGTGACTTGCCCAGGGTCACACAGCTAGTAAGTGTTAAGTGTTTGGTCTGAGATCAGATTTGAACTCAGGTCCTCCTGACTTCAGGGCCGGTGCTCTATCCACTGCGCCACCTAGCTGCCCCCACAATATCATATTTCTAACAACTTTCTAACAACTCATTGTCCTTCTTAACCTCACAGGCAGAGGAGAAAGTGGAGGAAATTGGGCTCTAGCTAAGTTGGTTTTATTTTATGCCATCAAACCAATATTGCCTTATTTCCAGAAAAATCATAAGTCAATTCCCTGATGGTTTCTTCCACTCACCATCTCTATGACTTCCCAGCCCCAAACCCCCACTGGTACAATGGGACAATGAGTATGTCCCAGAACCTCTCAAAGCCTCAGTCTCTCCTGAGCTATAAAATGGAGATAAGAATAAATATTTGTATTACTTTCCTCACAAGGATGTTTTAGGAAAAGCATTTTGTAAACCTTAAGGTGTTATATAAGTGAGATTTATTATTTCTCTTCAGAAGTCACAACCTTTAATTGGAAGATGCATGTAAGTATAACTTGTGCAACCAAGTCCTGTGGTTTTTTGCCCAGGGCTTCCCACTCCCTGGAAATGCTTTCTTCTGGTGGTGGCCATTGTCCCCCAATGAACCAACTATGATGGGTAGCACTTCATAGATTTGGTAAATCTGCACAGGTTTTCTGTCGTGTCCTGGATACATCCTTTCCAGGAAGATGACCCCTCAGCTAATTGGCCACATGCCCCTTTGTCACCAAGCACCAACATGGCACTTGTCTCCTTTGGGTAATAACTGCTGGCATTTGTGGCCATCCCTTGTTGTTCTATGGAACATAGGAAGCTGCTTTTTCCTCAAGAAGTCTGCAGCCCTTTGTGGGAATACTTTCATTCCTGTTGTATAGCTCCCAAGTTTTTCTTCTTCCTCTCCCCTTCATAACGTTTATTAAGCAGACTCATGACCCTGGCTTCAATTCCCTTTTCCTTATAACACTTTTATTCTTAGCTTTCTTAAATTATTTTTTTTCTATCCTAGAAAGTCTTCATCTTTCCTAATATGTCAATGGAGATGGGAATTCTGCAAGGCCTTTTATCATGTCAAGTAAAAAGATCAGTTTTACAGGAAAATGATAAATATTGGAGAAGATGTGGGAAAATTGGAACACTAATGCATTATTGGTGGAGTTGTGAACTGATCCAAACATTCTGGAGAGGAACTTGGAACTATGCCCAAAGGGCTATAAAAATGTGCATACCCTTTGACCCAGCAATAGCACTTCTAGGGCTGTATCCTTAAAGAGATCATAAAAACAGGAAAAGGACCCACATGTACAAAAATATTTATAGCAGCTCTTTCTGTGGTGGCCAAGAATTGGAAATTGAGGGGATGCCCATCAATTGAGGAATGGCTGAACAAGCTGTGGTATAGGAATGTAATGGAATACTATTGTGCTATAAGAAATGATGAGCAGGTGGACTTCAGAAAAACCTGGACTTACATGAACTCATGCTGAGTGAAGTGAGCAGAGCCAAAAGAACATTGTACACAGTAACAGCCACATTGTGTGCTGACTAACTTTGATAGACTTAGCCCTTCTCAGCAATGCAAGGATCTAAGACATCTCCAAAAGTCTCATGATGGAAAATGCTATCCACATCCAGAGAAAGAACTATGGAGTTTGAATGAAGATTGAAGCATACTATTTGCTCTTTTTTTCCTTGTTTTGTTTTCTTTCCTCTTTCTTGCGGTCCCTCCTATTGGTTCTAACTCTTCCTTACAACATGATTAATGTGAAAATATGTTCAATAGGAACGTATATGTAGAGCCTATATCAGATTGCATGATGTCTTAGGGAGGGAGGGGGAGAAAAATTTAAAACTCAAAAGCTAGAGAAGAGATTGTTGAAAACTAAAAACAAAGTAATTTAAAAAAGAGATCAGTTTGCGCCTAAAAAATGTATAGTGTATTCTAACAGTCATGCCAACTTTTCCCATTTTAGAGGTCCAGACAATCTAGCATTGGCTGTGGAGGCCTATGTGACGTCTTTGTTTCATTGCTTTGAAATGTTCTTATGCCTTATCACTAGGGTTGTATATTCCAGGTGTTCAAGTGCCTTCAGGTACCACTTTTGTGACTGGTCACACCTTAATGTTTAATTTTTTTACAGGGTTTTATTGGGCCATTCCTTTGGTAGTGGGAATTACTGACTCATGATGCTTATTTTTAAAATGAAAATTTTATTTTATTTTCAACAAAGATCAGCTTTCTCTCCCTCCCATTTCCTCCTCTCATTCCCTATTAAGAAAGTAGAAAAAACAAAACCCCTGTTACAAACACTTACAGTAAACTGAAATAAATTTTCACATTGGCCATGTCTTCAAAATACACGTCTCAGTCTGCACTTTGAGTCCATTACCCCTCTGTCAGGAGTTTGGCAACATGTTTCATCAAGAGTACTCAAGCATCGTTGTTAGTTAGGTGGCCATCATCATTTGTGGCTGCCCTTGAAATGTTCCAGTCAACTGACTTTCCTGCCATCTGTTAGATGCTACTGCCTCTCAGTGACGTGGCACTCGGGCTAGTGCTCCTAAGTGTCATGATCTCAGGCTACAGAGATTAGATCGCTAAGCTGCCCAAGTGCTAATGGTCAGTAATCGGCACTAGTTTGATAATCAAGAAATGGAACCACGAGGGACTATTTGCTAGAGTAGCTAAACTCACTCAGCTCTTGTTGACTGTTTGTTGCAGTTAGCATCTATTGGCTTGAACATTTTTTGTAAGATTTTAAAAAGTCACATTCTAAAAACTGTTGACAAGGCAATCAAAACAGGCATTTAAGAGAAGTCACAAATACACTGGAAAGCACTATCAGAGAAGTAGAGTATATTAGCAAACTCATACCCACAGAGAAATTAATTTAGCTATGTTTTACTATAACGGACCTGGCAAATTCAAGGAGTAGGAATTAATGGTGATTGTTTTACCTTGGACCACAAAGTTTACTGCCTGTCTTTCTGCCTGAGTCCTCAGTCGGTAATCTTTTGCATAAATATTTGGCAGGGGTCTTCTGCGTCCCATGATGGAAACCACATATCCTTTGGTTTTATGAAAGAGAAAACAGGCACAATGGATAGGTAAATCGGAAGTAGAGTAAGTACATGAAATACAGACACATTCGTGTGCTTGTATGCTACACAGTAGGGTATGGGGCCAGAAGGGACCTTAGCGATCATTTAGTCAACCCTTTATTTTACAGGTAAGGAAACTAATGTCCGAAGAGGGGAACGGATGAATTTAATCACTTCTATCCTGTTCCTCTTTGTTAGTTTTTTTAATTGTTGGGAAGTCCATCCTTACGTCACATCTACATTCGACTCAGCAGTGCCTACCCACCGCTCTTAATATGTCTGTAGAACAAGTATAACCTTCATTTACATGCTAGCCTTTCAAATACTTGCAGACATCTATCATGTCCTCCTTAAATCTTCCCTTCTCTAGGCAAAATGTTCCCAGTATTTTAACCATTCCCCAAATGGCATGATCTCGATCTCAAGGCCCTTTGCCATACTGGTTATCCTTTTCTGAATGTTCGTGAGCTCCCATGGGTTCAATTATCATCTCTATGCAGATGATTTCCAGATGTATGTATCTAGCCCTAGTCTATGACCTGAACTTCTTCAGTCATGCATCAGCAACTACCTTCTGGATGTCTCAAACTGACTGTTCTGTAGGCATCTAAACTCTACATGATCAAAACAGAACTCGTTATCTTTCCCTTGAAACTCTCCCCTCTACTGACCTTCCCTGTTACTTTTGAGGGCACTACAACTCTCCCAGCAACCTTGGTGGCATCTTCAACTTATACTCACCCCACATATCCAATCCACTGCTAATACTTGTCATTTCTACCTTCACAATATCTCTCAGATATGCCCCCTTCTGCACTCACATAGCTGCCTCATCAGTTCATGCCTGCCTCCCCTCATACCTCGATCATTGTAGTAACCTTTTGGTTTGTCACTCAGTTTTAAGTCTCTGCCCGATTCAGTCCATCCTCCACTTATTGCCAAGATGATTTAAAAAAAAAATCAATTCTCAAACTTTTTGATTTCAGGACCCCTTTTACACTCTGAAAAATTATAGAAGACACTCTGAAGAGCTCTCATTTGTGTAGGTGACATCTATCAATACTCATCATATCAGAAATGACAACATCTTAGTATTGTTATGAAAATCATTTTGGGCTGGCTCTATCACACCTGTCTATGTTATGTGTCTTCTCCTCTACCACAGGATTGGGGCCGCTTTGGTCTCACCTTTGTGGACTTTTGCAAACTGGTTGCATAAATTGCTGTCTTTTCATTGACTTGGAGGTCTTTGGAAAAGTTCTAGGCAAATAATAAGGAGATTGCCTGAGGCAACAAGAATGATCCCATAGCTAATTGGAATTTTGGTCTGGCCCCTACCCCATTTTCCTGACCTGCAGATAGAAAGTTTTTCCTTGTACTGCAAAAAAGTAACCAGTAACAGCATGCCCCAGGGATGCATAGAAGCCAATTATAAACAATCACAGGAAGATGTTGGAAATGCTCTTCAAAAATCAAAAACGTTTCCTGAGAAATGATTACTGTTGCATTTCCTCAGGAAACCAATTTTATAACACTGAACTTTCTTTACGATGAGTGATAATAGCAACTGCAAATCTGAAATTTTATTTCCCCCATGATTTGTGGTAAAGGGTAATTTCTATACTTATGGCCATTGGCTTTACAGCTGGAAGGGAGACCATCTATTCCAAACCTCTCCTTTTAAAGATGAGGAAAGTAAGGCCCAGAGAGGTTTGTGACTTACTAAATGTCACCCAAGGCATAAGCAGCAGAGCAGGGATTCAAACCCAGGATGCCTAACTCCAAAGCCGGCATCCTTTCCACTATCACGTGCTACCTCTCTTTCTCTGAAAACATTTTTAAAATTCTGAACATGACAAACACCAAACAAAATGAGCATTGCCATATATGCTACAGATAGAAGGAGGGGTTTATACTTAAATTGCGAATCTCAATCATGTAGTTTTCAATACATAATATTCAAAGCTGATCTGCTTGCCTGTGATTTCTTCAAGCCTTCTCTCTCATGAAGAATGGTCTAATTGCCTCACAGAGGCTTTGGAGCTAGAAGTCATCTTAAAGGCATCTATACAGTTTAGCCCCTCATTTTATGGATAAACACAACAAAGACCATAGAGGTAGAGTGACTCGTACTCAAACCTCAGTCTTCTGTTATCTCCAAGGCTCTTTCCACTATACTATAACTGCTTCCTCATACGTGTAAATTTTGGGGACATTATGGATAAGAAGATCCTAACCTTCAAAGCTATGTTAAAATGGAATTCCTTACACTGGCAAGCAATTATCTTTCCATCAGTGGAGATATTTGAGAAGAGGCTGGACGGTGATCTGAAAAGGATTCTGTAGAAAGGACTTGTCCATTGGGCTGAGAGATGCCCTGTTTGCCCTTACAAAATAGAGCTAGGAGTACTGGGAGGTTAAGAGTCATAGAGTAGCAGACTTCAGGTCAAGGTAAGAAAAAACATTTCTAACGGTAAACGCTATCCAAAAGTGGAATTAGCTACTCTGTGATGTAGGTGTTCCTCATCACTGGAGGGATCCACCAATGATTCTGAATTAAGATCCAAGTGAGAGCTAACAAACAAAAGTGCCAGCCTGGGTTGGTATCTGGGTTTCTTTAGCGCAACAAAATTTAAGGGGTTGAGACAAAAGTGAGAAAGCAGTTAACAAAAACGATGATGTAGGATGTAGAGGCAAGATATGAGGCAGACCAGGAACTGACAGCAGGTTCATCCTGTACTCCTAAAGCTTCAGCTTTTAATGTATGTGTACCCTATTTCTGTCAGGTGTTGACACACTATCATGGTTCTAGGAAAGATCTGCCAGTCCCCTTCCTGACGGAAGCCTATGAGCTCATTCACTTATTCATTCAACAAAAACATATTAAATACCCATTATGTACAAAGCATTTTGATAAAAACCAGGAAAAATAGAGTCCCTGTTTTCTAGGGACTTATCACATAATAAAGGGATAAAATATAAACATAATTATATATACAGCATTAGATAACAGGCATATTAGAAAGATACAAAGTGGTGCATGAGGTTAGAGGGGGAAATTTCCTGAAGGAAGTGTCATTTGAATTGGACTTCAAAGATTTTGTAGGAATTCAATGGGTAAAGAAAGAGAGGTAAGATATGAGCACAAGCAACAGTGGGGAAGTAGAAAGAAGCATGCCATGTTTGGTTCACGTTTATTTGTGACACGCATCAGAGCAGAGAAGCAGCAACATAAACTCTGTTATTATTGAGAAAGAGTAGGAAGACAGGGAAGTGGAAAGTTTTAATTACCTTTGTGGTGGCACTGCATGATTGTTTCCCGGGTAAAGTCATGGATTTTCTTGTATTTCTGGAGAAAACTCTCTATAAACTGACTGGCTTGAAGAGCAGTTACTCCAAGGCAAGTAGCAAGTCGTTCTTTGCCTTAATTATTAATAAAGAACAAAGAAGGAGAAGACTTAAATGGCATCTCACATACAATGATGATGGGCCTGTTCACTAGTCAGGGCAAGAACCATTCTATTTATTCAGAAATTGGATTTTGTTCATTCTCAACTGTGTGTCAAGAAGCAGATCATTTGATGATTACAAATTACTTTGGGCTCACCTTAGTCCAAAAATTATGGAAGCCTAAAATAATAGATCATCTCTAAAGTCTCTTTCAGCTCATACACTATGATCCTCCATGATCCCATAGGAATTCAAATGGAAAAAAAAAGACTAACATTGAATTACAATGCCTTCTCATACATACTGATAAAAATGTTGTTCTTAAAGGGGTCTTAGGAAGTCATAAATGGGTAGTCTCTTTCAAAGGAGGATTAAGGCCTAAACTGATTATATGACTTATACCATATGTCTTGAAATAACTGATGAATGGAGTTAGGGCTAGAAAAGAGATCTCTTAAATCTCAGACCAAATGATCTGCTTCTTAGACACACAACTGAGAATGAACAAAACACAATTTCATTTTTCAAGGTCTTTGTACTTAATTAAGACTACGAAATCTTCATGAAAAAGTTATAATTTATTTTGCTACATTTTTGAGATTCCATTTCCTATGCCTATTAATGTTTCTACCTATTTAATGTCCATTACTCCTAGTGAGATCTTGGTACTCTGAAAGAAAATTCAGTCATTTATCACAATGTACTATCACTCATGGCACAGAGTTGGTCCTCCAAGATACTAGGTTCACACAGATTAGGTCTGATCCTTGGAGCCTGATCTGTGAGTTTCTCTCTTTGATTTGCTACTTTCATCTGGAGTACTACTAGAAAATCGTTAAATATACTCATATTTAACTCATACTCATAAATAACTCACATCTAGGTTTACTAAATATAGGTAACAAGGTCCCCACCTCTTAATCAGGCATTCTGACCCCTTTTAAATAAATATCATATATCAGACAGTCTTGGTGTCACCCTAAAAAAATATGCATAAGATTCACAGGATTTTCAGTACAGATACAATGACACATAAAGTGAATGAGAATGGTATAGTGGCAAGAGTGCTGGATTTAAATCAAGAGGACTTTGGTTCAAATCCCAGTTCTTCCAATTATTATATGACCTTAAGCAAGTCATTTAACTAGGTCTCAGTTTCCCTATCTGTAAAATGAGGGTGTCAGGCCAAATGACCTCTGAGGTCTCTTTCAGCTCTAAATCTATGAAAACATTTAAATAGCCCATCAGCTGAGCCCTAGAAAAGAACTGACCTTGGGGTTGCTATTGGGGCTTACAACCTGATATTCTAAAGGGTCATAAAAACTGTAGTTGGATATTGTGGCTTAGACTTCCTTTAGACAGTAAATATACTCTGGGGTCTGTTTCATATGCAATTTTCTTCCCATCTAATGTTATCACTGGACATTTCATTGGCCTTGTTGTCCAAGTAGGACACTGTGCAGAAATGATGTAGATGATCCTTTCCTGCCCCCCTCAAGAATCATTATGCATGAGGAAATCCACATTGCTCTGGAAGGTCTGACCTCTACCCCCCCCAATTTAATATTTTATTTTCACCCAATTACACGTAAAAATAATTTTTAATGTTTGTTTTTAAAAATTGAGTTCCAAATTCTCTCCCTCCCTTCCCCTCATTGAGAAGGCAAGCAATTTGATATAGGTTATACATATGCAGTTACGCAAAACACATTTCCATGTTAGTCATATTGCGAAAGAAAACACAGACAAAAAAAACCCAAGAAAAATAAAGAAAGTAAAGAAAAAGCATGCTTTAATATGCATCCAAACTCCATCAGTTCTTTCTCTGGAGATGGATAGTATTTTTCATTATAAGCGCTCCAGAATTGGATCACTGTATTGCTGAGAATACCTACGTCATTCACAGTTGATCATCATATAATATTGTTGTCACTATATATAATATTCTCCTGGTTCTGCTCACTTTACTTTGCATCAGTTCATGTAAGTCCTTCCAGGTTTTTCTGAGAGCATTCTGCTCATCATTTTTTTTTTAGGCAGTTGGGGTTAAGTGACTTGGCCAGGGTCACACAGCTAGTAAGTGTCAAGTGTTTGGTCTGAGGCCAGATTTGAACTCAGGTCCTCCTGACTTCAGGGCTGGTGCTCTATCCACTGCGCCACCTAGCTGCCCCCACTGCTCATCATTTCTTAAAGCACAATAGTATTCCATCACAATCATATATAACAATCTGTTTATCCATTCCTCCAATTGATAGATATCCCCTCAATTTCCAATTCTTTATCACTAAAAGAGCTGCTTTATATATTTTTGTACATGTAGGTGATTTTCCTTTTTTTTTTTTATCTCTTTGGGATATAGACCGATGAGTGGTACTGCTTGGTCAAAGGGTATACATGCATTTTATAGCCCTTTGGGTGTAGTTTCAAATTGCTCTACAATTGAATCAGTATACAACTTCACCAACAGTGCATTAGCATCTCAATTTCCCCACATTCTTTGACCATTTATCAATTGAGGAACGACTCATTTCTATAAATTTGACTCAGCTTTCTATATATTTTAGAAATATGGTCTTTAATCAGAGAAACTTGCTATAAAATTTTTTTCAGTTACGATTCCTAACTGTATATTTCCTTCCTTCCTATTTTCCCCGTTTATCCTGTTTCTCTCTCTTTTCACCCTGTCCATTCTCAAAAGTGTTCTGTTTCTGATTTTTACCTCTCCCAATCTGCCCTCCTTTCTATTGCCCCCCCCCCTTCTCTAATCCCCTTCCTCTCCTACTTTCCTGTAGGGTGAGATAGATTTTTATGCCCAACTAAGTATGTATGTTATTCCTTCTTTGAGCCAATTCTAATGACAGTAAATTTCATATGCTCCCCCCACCTCTCCCTTCTTCCCTTCCACTAAAAAATCTCTTTTGCACCTCTTTTATGTCAGATAATTTACCTCGTTCTTTCAGTCTGAAAATGGCCAAGCAGAAATTTACACATTCAAAAAAAACCAACACCCAGAATGGAAAGAAGAGGCAATTTCATATTTTGGGATCTGAGATCAAAACTGAGCTGAGATCCTAAAGCAGGTGCCCTACCCACAAATACAGAAGCACAGGGCAAAAGGAAAAGCAGAGAGATCATTGTCTTATTTGATATGACCTATTAATGATGACTCAATTAATGAACAGAGACACTCTTGGAGGAGTCCCCTGGACTGCCACACATGCTTTCTGCAGCCCATCCTTCACCTCTCCCCTCCCTGAGGCCTGGAATACAGAAAGCCAAGGCCCAGTTCTTATAATCAAGGCACACCAGGAAGAGACATTGCATGGTGGCTCACATTCTACCCATCACCAGGACTCTAAATTCTATTTCAAACTCTGCAAAGCATCTATTAGTTTAGCTTTGCTGAAGCAGCATTCTCTAGGATAACACTTCTACTTGTCCTGGCTCCCCAGTCTAATCCTTGGGCATTTCGTCTCATTGTTTTAGTTGCCAGTAGCACATTCAAACTATCACCTCGTGAACTGTCAGTACTCTTCTCATTTCCCCTCATGACTTCTTAGCCCCACTCCTACTCACTTCACCTTTCTCCTAGTGCATTCCAGGGCACCCTTTGGAGTCCAAACTCTATTGTCCACAAACTGCTCTAGAGCCTGGGCTCATCCCTACTCTTTCTTACTCTTATTTTAGTACACATAAAGTTTTCACATCCGTCAGTCTGAAACCTTGGGAAGAGTGTTTTTAGAGAGGAGTAGAGACCATTTGTAAATAAATGGTGAGTCATTAGCTATGATGTTTATGAAAAGGATAATTTTGTTGCTTTTAGCTGAGGCAGTTGGTGACACCAAAGTTTCCACCCCAAGCCTTTAGTATCTAATTTTCCCATTGTCCCACATCCCTGACAGCTGGAATTACTGTGTGTCTGCTATTGTTTGCTTGGAGGGGCTGTGTATCTGTGTCTTTTGTTTGAAATTGCTCCAGAAAGGGCCATATCATAGGGTCAGCTTGACAGTAAGATAAGGCTTTGCCAAGCAACCCAAATGGAACTCTCTGATGATCTGAGATTTGTATAAGCCTTTCTGAAATGCCATTAGGACTTTCCTTTTTAAACCTATGAGCTATTGATATGATGAAATAACTTATATAAAACTGACACTAGGTAGTTATAAAAGTTGGAACCTATTAAAATTAAAGCTTAAGGGATAGGAAACTTCAAGGATCATCTTACTGATTTCCCTCCACAGTAACTTTTGCAGCCTATTCCCTCTTTGACACTTTCACTGCTGGCCCTCATCACCTCTTGCCTGGACTATGATAATTGTCTCCCTGATTTTGATCTCTCTCTTTCCAATCTCTCCTCCACTTATCCTCCCAAATAACCTCCCTAGGGATCATATCTGACTGTCACCCCCCTGCTCAAAATACCTCAGGGACTCCCTATTGCCTCTGAGATAAGACACAAACTTTTCTGTTTGCCCTATAGGGCTACAGACTCATACCACCTAATCCCCTAATTCCTATTATTTCACAGAATTAATAACTCCTTTTCCTTGCTACCTCTCCCAACACTTTCATCCTCATCCTTCCAAATCCTCACCCCCATCTCCTTTGATCCTTCCCTCGTAATGTTCCTTCTGGTACCCTTTTCTCTTGTTGACAAATTCCACTCCATCCTAGAGCTCTTTGTCCGCACAATCTTTCCAAATTGTTTCCACAGAAACCTGGCTTTCTCCAGATGATAACTCACCCCTACTTTACTTGTGTGCCCAACACACTGGGTGAGGAGGAGCATTCCTTTCTTCCCATCAGCACTTTCAGCTCCTTCCTCCGCAGAAATATCTCAACAACGGGACTTATTTTTAGGTTAGCTCCACCTATCAGTATCACCCTGCTCAGATTCAATTCAATTCAGTTCAACAAGTATCAATAGTGAGGCACTATGTAAGTGCTGGAGACACAGACAAAAACAAAAACAG